CTGGAAGGCTATGTGCAAAATACAAATAAACCTAGCAGTCAAACCAACAAGCAGCATAAAATTAATTCCAAACTGTAACATTTATATATATGATCATCTTTACAGTTAAGATTAAGAGTGAATTTAGAAATATACTCCAGAAACCACATGTCTCTAATGTCATAATTAGAGAGACATTGAAGTGCTTACGCTACAGTACGCAAGCTATAACTACAAGAGGACCGGTAGCAAGGGGTCTAAAATCAATGCTCAAGTTCAACAACTTCTGAAAGTTTAACTAAAAAATAGTAAACTGATATGTTGATATGATAGGAGTTGTTGAGCTTGACTTGGTGTCTTTTAGGATCCTTTACAGAAACTTCATCTAACTCCACACTCCTATTCTCTAGATGTGAAAGGCTGAAACCTTTTAAATGAATTGTATTCCAATTTTTGGAGAATTACATCAGACCAGAGGTTCATTAATTTTCTTTTCTTACAGGAAGTTTAATGCAAAATAACAAACAGTTGATTAACAGAAATACCTTTATAAGGCATCCACAGGAATCCAGCATGTCAGTTCTCAAAGGATATTCCACAACTTAGACCATGAAAGTATGAAGGTTGACAAAACAAGGGGAATGGTATTCATATAAAACCCATTCTCAGAACAAACAACAAATTGCCACTCACAATAAAGGTGTCTTCTCCAAAAATAACTGAGTTGGAAATGTGAGCCATTAGGGTTCCATAATCAACTTGTGTGTATGGAGGTGTTACACCGATGTAATCAAATGGCCCATTACAACCTATACATAATCAAAAGTTATTTTCGGACTATGGAAAATAAAGGAAGTCATCAACCATTAGAAAGGTTAGATAGTATCATTAATATGCAGTTGACAGCATATGTACATTTAGTGTTTGCTTTTGCAAGAAAATTGTCAATTCATTCTTTTGATATACATCTGTTTTCTAGAAGATACAAGCTGGGGGACTTAGTTTACACACCTGTAAGCTCCCTGTATCTTTGTTTCTTCCCTTCAGAGGCAGATCCTTGTAACACATTTGAGATGATCAGATGACAGTTCACTAACAAATTGCACTATCTTGATTCTAATTTTACTATTGTGAATTGACTACCATTAACATGTGCTATAACCATCTTCTTCACAGTTTTATGTCTACATTGACAAAATGAATCTATATTCCTAAAGTTCTCCTATCCTACATTTCATACATGCTTACTGATCAAGTTGGCATATTAGAATTTATAAGTTAGTCTTGTTGAAATTCATTTCTGCAAGGTTACTTGCTAGTCACAGGCTGTTCTATTTTTCTCTTTTCTAAATGATCAGTGAAGCAAGAAAAGAGAGATCAGCTGTAATACCCGTTAAAAAAAAAAAGAGGGCTATTTTTAAGTTTTTTTTTTTTATAAGTGGGGGACTCTTTAGTAAAGACTGAAAAATGCAGAGGATATATTGATAAATAACCCAAATTTTTTTTTAAAAGAGTTAATTTATTCAATTTTCAATCGACGACTAACAAAAGAAAAAATACAAACTTATTTTTTCTCTGTTTCTTATATAAAAAAGATAAATTGAAGGATTCCAAGTAAAGGGAAAGAACAAATCTATAAAGAGAATTATCTGTCAGAGGTGAGTAAATAATCTCTTTTAATTTTGGAGTATTGATTTTTAAGTCTTAAGGTGTAATTTGTAATCGAAAAATCCTAAAATTTTAGGATTTCCATTATCCTTCGGGTAGATAATTTAGGCTTTAATTAGGATCAAATTAAGTGTTGAGAAAGCTGGTAATGTGAATTTATTGTTGAAATAAAAATTTAATGGGAATAAGAAGGAAAACTTTTGTTTCGTATAAATCATGTGTTTGCAGTGATGTATTAAAGTTATATTCTGTATTAAATGGTTTAATATTGTTATGATTATTGTATATTATTGAAAAGCATTTGAATCTACTTTCTAATGAAATAAACGAGAGTCGAATTCGAATTTTCTATGAAGAGTTATCTAATTTTTTTACCTAAGGATGTGCAGGCTGTCTAGTAGCAGCAGTAGGGAGGAATTTCGAAATTCCCCTTAATTTTTATATAAGGATTTACATATTAAGTCATATATGTTTGGAAAGCTTATTGAGTCTACTTTCCAACGAATTAAACGAAATTAAATTTGGAGTTTCTTATGAATAAATACGTAATTTTTAGGAGAAGGTATACAGGCTGTCATATGACGTGGATTTCAAAAATTATTATAATTAATCCACAAGAAATCATGAGATTTACCATATATGGTTAAAAAGCTTGTTGAGTCTAGTTTCTAACTCATTAAAAATATTTTAATTCCGAATTGAATATCTTGAAATATGATCATTTTAATAAAAGTAGTGCAGACTGTCAGAATTAATTACTTGAATTATTTCTTATTTAGCTTAATTGTTTTGGTATAAACAGTCTCAAATGGGTTGATTAATAATTGTTATGTTGAAATTATCTTGAATAGACCATTAATTATTGAGAGAGAAAAACTAGGTGGTGGAATCGAAAGGAAGTACATAGAATCTCACACACACTTTGTTTGTTTTAAAATCTATGCATATATGTATATTTTTAAACGAATAAATGTTTTATTTCTTTATTTTCGATATATGAAAATATGATCAAGCATATGATTATTTTATCTTTTTGCTATGTAAATGATTGATTATGCTTATGAATGAAATGAGAAAGTGATTTTTGTTTAAAGAATGATTTTATGATAACTATATTTTTACATTCATGAGAAGTGGGATCATCGACACCAGAACTAATTCTACAGTCATAGCTAACAGGTTATAGTAGTTAGCAAAGACATGATCATACGGTCCTGCTAACGGGTTATAGTAGTTAGCGTAAGGCCCTGACTAGCGGGTTATAATAGTTAACAATAATCATGAAGGTGAAATTATCGATACGGTCAATGTCATGGGTTATAACAGTGACCGTAATTAACGATAAATGAATGATAATAATGGTTTGTGATGAATGATTTTTTTTATAAATTGATTCATGATTTGGTGACATATTTTGATACTGATTTATGATCTATGAATGCTTAATAGAACGCTGATTTTTGAATTATTTTTGACATTATGAGTTGATAAATATTTTTGAGAATGATTTATATAGTACGTATAAAAATATTGTTTGATCCGATAAAGTGTATAAGCTTTTACTTACTGAGCTGTGGTTTACTCATTTTTTTTTTTTTTTTTACAAATATTATGAATGATAAGTATGATTAGTCTTTAGAAGAGCTAGAAGAATCGAGCATTGAAGAATTACTTAGAAATTAAGATTTTATGAAGTTTTTTTTTTTAATTGTAATATTTGACTTTAAACTTTTTTAGATTTATTATTTAGTTATTTTATTTAATGAGAATCTTATTATATGTAAGAATTTTTCAATGATTATGGATTAAATTTCGTATTGCTTTGAAATTTTATTTTAAAATAATATGACCGTGTTATATTTCGATATCGAGACGTGACGTTAGCATAATCAAACTCTTGGTTCTCTCATCTTTGTTATATACCAAGTTCAATTAACAAATTAGTAATCACATTGAAATTTTAGTTACTTAGAATTCACCATAAGAAATCAAAGAAGAGCTGTTCCATGAAGTTTTCAACACGAACGGGATGTATAACTGAGACATCAAGAAACCCAGTCCATTCCAGGTTTGGTAGCAGAACATTTGAAACAACCCAAGGATCCATCTCAATGCCCCAGCAGAATCATAAATGAAACTTTATATTAAGGAAATATAACACATTTATTTTAAAAAAAAGGATAACTTTGATTACTGTAGCAGATTCTTAAGTTTAAACAAAAATGTATTTGGAATTTCATTTCTTTTCATAAAAATACTAGTAAATGGTATGTTTCTAATGGAAGCAAGTGGAGGCATCCAAAAAGATAAATTGAAGCACTTTGTACGAAATCTGAGACAGTAGCTTGGTTTTACAAAAAGAGTGAAGCAATAGTTTCGTTCCAGATTCTTTCATCCTTTCTCAATTGCTGCTTCAGTGCTTTGAGTCTTTGAGACTTCCCATTCTATTTGTATTTTCTGAGTTTCTTCCAAGCACCTCCTCTTCACTTCCTTCAGGTGCTCTAAGAAAGACTGCAAAGTACAAAAGCTATCTATGGATATGGTTTTTTTTTTTTTTTCCATTTGTTTAATAGCTTCTGCAACACTGTAAAACTTTGAACTTGGGAAATGAACAGAATGCCATAAAAAAAAAAAGGAAAAAGTCAAATATATTACTGTAAAATGGTTTTAATATTTTAGCCAAAACCATTTAAAATGTCTTAAAACTCACTCAATCTAGGTCCATTTCAGGCATCATCAAACATCAATTCACACTTGAATGGCACGGCATCAACAATTCAAAGTTCTCGATAGTGATTTAGGTTGCCATAGTCTTTCCATGTAACAAAGCCAACAAGGTGTCTCCATGTCTTTGGCCAAAAAAAACAACAAGGTGTCTCCATGTAAATGGTAATATAACATTCCCGTTTTTCAAGAATGTCGTTGAAACAAACAAGATGATCGACGAAATCAAAGATTCAGGGAAGGATAGGAGTCGGTTCCTAAAAGGTAACACCGAGCATTTGTGCATCCGATGATAATGCCACGCGTTTTCTCCTTGAAGACAAAGGAAAAGAAACTCCAAAATCTGGGACATCTACCAGAATAGAAAATTAAAATCCAACAACCTCAAAACTTGTACACTGATATCAGAACTTGAAAACCCAAGCTCCTTTTTTGTCTACACGCTCTCTTAAACGCCATTTATTTGGACTAATTTCCACGTGTCACGTTTTATCACCGTTCGATCAGTTTATCCACCATGCTTGTGGTCCACTGGACCCCACTTGAAAAAAACCTGATTCACACCATTGCTTGACTTTTCAAAGCCCACCCAAGCCCTTTGGCCGAGTGTTCGACAATCGACGCTAAGGCTGAAGACTTGAGAAATACTGGTTTTTTTTTTTTTCAATTTTTATTTTGTAATAATTAAGCTATTGTTTTGGAATTTTAACTCTAAAAGTCAAAGACTCTAAACTCATCATTTGGAATATAAAAAAGTTACATACTTTGTGTTGTTTTCGTGAATTTGAAAGAGAGAGAGAGAGAGAAAAAAAAAAAAAAAGGAAAATGGGAAGTTGTGTTTCAAAGCAAGGAAGCTTTGGGGTATTTGCAAAGAAGAAAAACAGGAAGATTTTGAGGAGAAGAAGGATCATTAAAAAGAGGGTTTCTTCTCGTAAGCTTGAGAATGGGGACTTTTGTGCTGCTTCTAAGGACCTTTCTCGTGCTAGTTCTACAATCCAAGGTTATCCCTTTGTTTTCTTGATTACTCTTTTCACTTTTTTTTTGGGTTTTGATTTCTGGGTTGGACAGATTGAGAAATGACACGTGAATTTTTATTAGTTTAATCTTGTTTAATTTAATTTTTGGTTGAACAATAGATTTTCATTCTTGTTTTAAAGTTGTTATGATCTTAATGAAGAGGGGTTCGAGCAAAGGTGAGTTCAAAATTATAGGGCATTGGTGCATAAAGCAGTTTTTGAGTTATGTTAGGATTATTCTCTGCTTTGAGTTTGGATGATTTGATGAATTATGACTTGTATTTTATGGGTTTTTAATTTAATGTATATAGCCTAAAATGTTTATCTTCATTTTTGGGTTTGGTTGCCAGTGACAGGAAGTTCAGACTTGGCATGGCGTGATTGTTGTTCAGTGTTTGAGTCAGAATTGGATGATGATTTTTATAGTCTCCATGATGGTATGTGTTTATACATATGATCATTTGAATCTAATTTTTTGAAAGAATTAAGCTTGATAAGGATTTGAGATCATAATTTTGATTCATGTTGTTTGCAGATGTAGTCTCTGTGACCGGCTCTGAAAATGTATCTGTATTGAGTGTGTTGTCTCCTAGAGATTTGAGTCTAATAAGCAATACTAATTCTCAATTGAAGGCCAACGATAATCCCACCGAGGGGACTCCAATATGTGTGGATGAGATTTCTAGTGAAAGTACTCGTGGGGATGAAAAGCACGTAGTGCAACATATCGGACTTCTCCCAAACACTTGCTTGCCTTGTATTCCTTCAACTGCCCCTTCACTAGAGAAAAAAAGATCATTTAACCCAAGTACACTTAGTTCAAGGAAGAAAGCACATCTGAAACTACCCTTTAAATTGAGGGAGGGACATGCAAATCCAACATTAGGTCAGTGTTACCAACTTTTTCCTTGTCCTCTGTAACTATCGTTTGTATTTCTCCATTTTTCTGCGGCTTATTGGAGACTTCTGTATTTGTGATGATCTGCTATAAATAAGAACTTAAAACATTATTCCTTTTCTGAGACTAGAGCTAAGTGCTTTTAAAAAAGAAATTGTTGAAAGTGCCTTTGGAGAGGAATTTCAAGTAGCCCTACATTCAATTACAATACAATGCATGGCATAATAATGAAGCTTTCAAATTCAGTTTTGCACACTCAATTATGTCTTTTATGTTTTGTAGTTATTGATGACACATTGATCATATGCCATATTTTTACGTGTGCATGGTCTTATTTCATCTCAGTTTCTCCCAAGGTGCCCTTGCAAAGACTGGTAGCTGGTATCTCAGTCCCATACTGTCCAAAAGAGAAGAACATGGCTGATTGTTGGTCTCCTCTAGAGCCAAGTTCTTTCAAGGTCCGTGGCCAGAACTACTTTAGGTGAGAGCACATTTTCTTCTTTGGTTTAACTTTTCTTCTTGAATGCACGTGCATGCAACTTGGATGATCTGGGAACTTCTGACTTCATAGTTATGGACTCTCTCCTTATTAATTTTGTTGTTACTGGCTAACTGAACTGAGTGATTCTTTCCATTTACTCTTTTGACAGGGACAAAAAGAAGGAATTTGCTTCAAAGTTTGCAGCATTTAATCCCTTTGGAGTTGATCTCTTCTTATCTCAGCGCAAAATTGATCACATTGCTCGTTTTGTGGAACTTCCGGTTTTTAATCTATCTGAAGACATTCCTGCTATTCTTGTTGTAAATATTCAGGTACCTGACCTTTTCATTTCTCCCAGAATTCACTCCATATGGTTATCACAGCTTCCTGGCTTCAGACCTACCATTTAAGAGATTTTGTTGCGAAACTTTTCCTCCAAGGTTTACTTTAAACTATACTTTAAACTATGTCCATTACTAGTGGAATGATGTGGCAAAATAGAATTATTATTGTTCAACCAAGTAATTAGCATGTAGTTCAATCATACCATGCTCAAGAACAGAAGTATGCTCGATGAGCTTATAGGTTCAAATCTCCATGTCCTTGCAGACAGGGATAGATATTTCTTCATTGGAAAGACATGCTTGTCCATTTGAATTTTTCTAATAATGACATTATCTTTTGACCTGCAGATTCCATTGTACCCTATAACAATCTTTCAGAGTGAAAATGATGGAGAAGGAATGAATTTGGTGTTGTACTTTAAACTATCTGAAAGTTACTCGAAAGAGCTCCCACTTCAGTTCCAAGAAAATATAATAGTAAGATAAATACATTTGTTGCTCTCTGCTTCTATGCTGGACATTTAGCTACTGGAAGCCCCATATTTGAGACATTGCTTTGTTATTGTTTGTCTTACTGCGTACTTGTTATGTTTGCTTCTTGTTTCAAAAGTAGTATCTTATTCATTAATTTTTCTTGTTCCTTTTATCAACAGAGGTTAATCAATGATGAGGTGGAGAGAGTTAAAGGCTTCCCTGTAGATAGTATTGCACCTTTTAGGGAAAGATTGAAAATGATTGGCCGAGTGGCAAATATGCAGGATCTTCATTTAAGCACAGCTGAGAAGAAGCTCATGAATGCTTATAATGAAAAACCTGTTCTCTCACGTCCTCAGCACGAGTTTTACTTGGTAATTTTTTCTCATAACCTTTCTATTTGATAATTATATCTTTTGTTTAATGAACTTTTCGCATTATTTTGCACAATAAGTAAATTTCCTACCAACACCATTTTTGTTTCTCTATTTGTTTTGGCTTTTTTCACTAGATTAATAGTCTGATACTATTTTCTTAAGGGATTATTCCATGATTAAGAATTATTCCATGATTAAGCACTAAGGATTTTAAAACTATTGCAGGGAGAAAACTACTTGGAGATTGACTTGGATTTGCATAGATTTAGCTACATCTCTAGAAAAGGCTTCGAGGCATTTCAAGACAGATATAAGCTGTGTATACTGGATTTTGGCTTGACAATTCAGGTAATCTCTTAATTACACAAGGCTGCTTTCTATCTTTTAAGATTTTAATCTAACATAAACATGATATAATTTTGTAATTTTTAATCAGGGAAATAAAGCTGAAGACTTGCCGGAGAATATGCTATGCTGCATACGCTTGAATCAAATCAACTACAGTAATTACCATCAACTGCAGTTATAGGCAAGATTTCTCTTTTACCATGGCAAATGCTTAAATCTCTTTTTTTTTTTCTTTTGCCAACCAACCAGAAGCTGATCAAGAATACAATAAGTTATTCCATTTTATCTTTTACTCCTTTTAAACCTTCATTCCTCTTTCCATTACAGTCTAGATTTTGCGTTCATTCCTCTTTCCATTACAGTCTAGATTTCACATTGTTTTTAGGGTGAAAATAAATCTTGTAAGTTCTAGCATCCAATTTTGACAATGACTGTATCCTTCTTGTTTGTATAGAAATATACAGATGTAAAGTTCTCACCAAGGTGAGAAAAGGAATAAAAGGAAAAGAAGAAAATTTTCTTCTATGGCCATTGACTATTGTTTTAACCTTTCAATGAAACTACTTTGGACCCTTGGATAGCATCATTCCTGTCTTTCCCTTTATTCATTGAACTATATATGTTTTACAGGGTTTATTGACATTTAAATCCTTAGTGCTGGATCTTTAAGAAAATAGTTGATCTATCATTCATGCTGGGACAAGATTGCTGGTCATCTGTTAGGATTTACTGTGTTCTCTGGCAAACATTTGAAGCATGATCAACATTCTTGCTTGCAAACAAAATATTCTGATATTTTCAATCCTAGTTCTTATAATCACAATCCAGTATTAAATATTGCTCAGAGAATGCTTTCATTGTTTGATGTTTATGTCAAAAGTGCCTGATCAAAGCATGCTTTGGTGGGTCATGCATGCATAAACAACAGCATTCAGCATCTTTTCAGATCCTTTGGTTCTTTTCTCTGAATCCTGTATGTCTGGAATTTATTTATTTTCATTTGCCTATAACAGACTATAACTTCTTGAACCTAATCATGTATGAATAGAAGAGTAATGATAGTAGAAGACATTTTCTCAAGACAATAATCATTGAATGAAATTTGGAATCAAGGTTCATTTTACATTATATTCCATAAAACAAGCAGATTTGTTTTCAGGCCGACCAAAAGAATAGATTGGAGAAATCATGTAACAATTTATGGGTAATTTTCTGGTTCATAACGGCTAAAACTTCAATTCTTACCATTAAGAAAATAATGCAAATCACAATAACTGAAAAAAAGAAAAAGAAAAAGAAAAAACCAAGTATGTGCAGTCTATTGACACAGAAGAGGACAAAGAAATGGATGAAAAAGAATGACCCTATGCTGTTGGTCCCATGCATCGTCCGAAAAGCACAGAGATCCTACACCTTTGGGCTTTCTGTGGAGAAGCTTCTGCTTTAGGGTTTGTATTGTTTTCTGGTTCAGGAGGTGCTGGAAAGTTGGTTGGTTGGGGATGAAGAATCTCCACTTGCCGGGGAGAAAAAAATTCCTCAGAGTTCCTATTGTCTGGAAGGTTGTCTTGATCATGCCTTCTCTCCCCGCCTGCTGTCGCATTAGGCAAGCCATTTTTTGGATCAATTATGTGACGATCGTCCCATATACGGCCTGATGAGCCTTGTCGCCTGAACGAGACAGATGATCTTTGCAATGTTGTCATTGATCAGAATCTTTTTTTTTTGTCTTTTCCTTTCCTCTTCTTTTCTTTGTATACCTTTCACTCTATTGGCTTGTTTTATCCATTGGATTGTTATCTTTTAACTAACATAACGATTTTCTGTTAGGGTTTTTTTTTTTGTTTTTTCCTTTTCTAAAATTCATGGATGGTCTTTTACATTTTTGCAATATTCTTTTAACTAACATAAATATAAAAATGTTTATACTTTTATATTTTTTACATTCGATGAATAACTATGTACCTAATGACAACATATTTTGAAATCATAAGTTAAATTAAATTGGTTTATGCAGTTATTTTTAAAATATAATATCTAATAAATATGATATTCAAATTCTGCTATTTTTTTGTAAAAAAAAATAATAACATATTTTATTGTCTTGAGATGTTGAGATTACTGAAAATATTTTTTGGGCCTTTGGGATATACCGTGCGGTTAAAGCTACCATAATCTTAAGACTAGTAAATGTAACAAATGGCTTGAATTACATGAAGCATATTAAACTGAGAAATTGGTGAATTTGGTATCATATTGCCTAAGATTTCATATTGTTGGCAAGATGTGAAACTTCATTACCCATATTTATGTATTTAAGTTTTATAAAGCACCAATTTACTTGGTAAGTACTTCATAGAGCTTCAGAAAATCTGAGTAAACTGATGAAAAATCAGTTTACTTGGTTATGTTGCACTTCTGAGTCACTTGGCTCCAAAGTATAGCCTCCAAATGGCACCATTTGCATGCTCACCAGAGAAAAGGAATTAATCTAACTAACAGTTCAATCATTCTGTTTAATGTGTTCCCAATCCGAACGTGATTCATTTCAAATGATATGTTTCAGATGATAATCAAGCTAGAAACCAATTTTCAGAAAGGAAAAACGAAACGGAAATGATAGTAAACATCTTTAATATATGACATTTCACAATATAAATAGTTAAGTCCTACAAAAAGCGTGTGGATTGAGCACAACTCAAATATCAGTATATACAACCATTAAATGGTTAACCATCACTATTCAAAGAATCCAGAAACAGCCCCAGAAAGAATTTCTAGGAGGAGCATACCTTGCAACTCTTCCTACAGTATCCATAAGACTCCTCAGAACCCACCATGTAAGTAGGGTTCTTTTCACACTCACCGGCCTTAGCCCAGATAGGGCAGTTATCATTCTCATCGATACAATCCCCATTCGCGGAGTGCCTCTGCAGTGTATCAAAGGACCTGACATGGATCCACTTTGTTGCAGACCATTTCTCACCCTTTATCCCCAGGCAACTTCCATGTAAACTGTTTGCATCAGGATGAAGACTGAAGAACAGTAATGCATCGCCTTTTCTGGGTTTCACTGCAAGTACAAGCAGTACAGTTAGTGTCAGATACTAATGAATATATGGTGGGATCTCTAATGCAACAATTTATCTGAGAACAATTAAATAAGAACATTATACAGCAGTTTTATAGTAATATCTGCAAAATTCATTGGAATGACAGATCACTAGCCAAGCATAGAAGTGGGACTATGTAAGATAATAAACAATGGCAAACGTAATTCCACTGCTGTGTCCAAGAGGATTACAATCCAAAATACACTTATAATTAAATGATCTTTTATATTAATATACTTGTTCACTCTTTAACTGAGATTTTATTATTTAGAATCAAAAGAAAGTTCAATTAACAGGCTTATATGATTTACCACATTAAAATCAATGAAAGTAAAAAAAAAAAAAAATACAGCCGCTTTACACCTAAAATCTCCATGGGTAATTGTAATACCTGCATATCCATTTTTGGCACAATCTGACCAGCTTTCGTCCTTGGGCTGAGCAAGCTTTCCCTACCGAAGACAAATGATGAGTGATGAACAAAATAAAATGGAAATATAACAATGAAAGAATAGGAACAAAGCAAACAGAACCAAAAACAGCCAGAAAACTGGATTCACAGGCAAATGCTTACCTCTGAATTTGGAAACACAGTTTCCCCACCACTTTCAACATCAGTACAGTGGCAAATATGGTGACCACTCCGCCCCCACTTCGACTTGCCATGAAAATAATCGAAATGTGGCTCATACTTCTGACCATGCTCATAATGTAGTATTTGCACGGACTCCCCGTTCTCTGCTCGCAATGCCAGGTTCAAGGAAGATGAGAAAAAGTCCTTCCACACGGATTAAGAAATTATAGAGTAACAACAAAATAGTAAAAAAACGTACCTACTGGAAGGAAGGTCCATGCAGCAATCCTGGCTTCAATATCAGCAACTACTTCATCCTTCATATGAGAAACAAAGGACAGCACACAAGCATTTGAAGTTCAAGAATCAGCACATGCAATGCCTTTTAAACATGGTCCATGTATATAAACAATCCTAATCATCACAATAAGCATAGAGAAAAGAATCCTAAACATAATGAAAAACGTAACTAATCCTTGCATGAATGCATCCACGACAGTAATTTATGATACAGATTTGACAAGGCTTGAATTAGCTAGACCAATGTGACTAACGCATAAGTAATATGCTTTTCAATCATTCATTCAATTAGGAAACAGATTCTTTTGGTAAAGAACTGGGCCCTCAGATTAAGTTTGAATGAATCAAGAGGGAAAAACACACATAGCATCATCTGTGACAAACTGCCACCCAAAAATTGGTTATTTCTGAAGAACATAGAAAAACTGCTGAGTACAAACACTTCAGAATACAACTTCTAACAGAACATCAATAAAGAATGCATGGAAAATTCGGCCATTAAGTGGTTCAAAACTCATAGTTACTCCGCAACCTTTAGTTATTATGATCAAATCTGTCAATATCAAATGCAAGTTCTTAAAAATCAGAGCACACTCAAATTCATTGTGACCAATTTTATAGCCAAAAAGGAACACACAAGACTAAGTATCCATTATCATGACATAATTCTATAAACCCATATACCTCATCCGTTCTTTAGAAACGACATTAAGATTTCATTGCATAATATAACATCCTTTCAATTTAGCCAAAAGAATTCACAGAAAACAAAACCAGGAGGTAGGGAGACCATTCCATTACTTCTAAATTCTACAATTCTACTCAATAATTCAACAATGGGGCGTGAACACGGACACACGGTAACAAAGTAACAGCATTCCTCTTTTACATTATCAGAATTCCAACAAATTTAACAGCTTTAAACTAAAAAAAAAAAAAAACACACACACACACACACACACACGAAAGAAAGGCAATTTATTAGATATACCTGAGCTTTCTGAAGAAACATGCCAGAGCTGGTTCGAACTTTACTTTCAATGCTTTGACCTGATTCATCATCTGCCACCATTGACTTCTCTAACTTATCCTTTGCCTAAAATTAACTCAATTTTTTTTTAAAGAAAAAGTTAAAATCATAAATCGAAATTCTTCAAAAAAAAATTTTTTTTAAATTGTTGCTTACCAGAGTAATAAGGTGATCACATTCCTCACTCGATAAAAAGCCTTTGTAAATAAAAGCCCTGCGAAATGGAAAAAAAAAATTTAACCAGCTTAACTAAATCAAACCGGAAAAAATTAAAAATGTAAAAAAACGAGAGAGAAATTAAAGTTACCTAGGGTTCCATGAGAGTTGAGTAACACGAGTCGGATCGAATAGAACAGAAGAAGTTTCTCTTTTCATTTTAAGCACCAATCCATTAATCTCAGCCGAAGCCAAACAGAAATGAAGGAAAATAAGAACAAAAAATCCGAGAAAATGCCGGGAATCCATGAGAAAAAAAATTCTACGTTCGGCTCCAATCGTAAATAGAATTACAGAGAGGACAGAAATTTTGAAGACTTTGCCTTGTTTTTGTTTTAATTTTAATTTTTTATTTAAGAGGGAATTTAATGGGCGCCCATGGGTTTGTCGCAAGGCTTTTGTTAAGTGGAAATGTCAAAAAGGCAAAAATGTAACGTTTCCGGAAGCTTCGTTGTTTCTGGCAGAAGAAAATAAATGAAACGACGCGTTTTCAGCTTTCCAGTCAATGGTTTTTTTTTGCCCCAGTACAAAGGTAAGAATATTGATTCATTATTAGAAAATCATAAAAAAAATGTCATAATTTAAAATTTTAATAAAAATTAAAAAATAAATATTTTATATTTAATATATCGATATAAAAAATTTAAATATTTTGCATATGTTAAATATGAAATTAATAAATATGTATATACAAATTACCAGTTCTAATAATATCTAATAATTTAGATGTTTTGGATTAGTTTAGTTTTTAATTTTTTTTAGATTTAATTTTAATTTTAATGACTAAGATTTAATTTATTGTAAATATAAAAAAACTTAAGAAATTAGAATTTTAGATTTTAATTTAAAATTTTAAAGTATAAATCATAAAAATATATAATCAAACCCAATCATTCACTTTTGCATGTGATTCAATCAATAGTTAAGTTAAATTAATCTCTCATTTTTATTTAAGTTAAATCTTAATATTGAAAATAGAGATTGATAATTTTTTGGAAAAGAAAATATTATGCAAAGATGACAAAGTATGAAATAGAAAATTGGAAATTAGGTATGAATTAATGAATAATAATATAATAATTTATTATTGTGGGCACATGTTAGTTATTCATTAACTAGTTTAGGCAAACATTAAAATTAACATTTAAACTTTAATTAAAGAGTGAAAAAAACTTACACAAAGTTTTATAGGTGAAATTAGTGAAATTTTTTATAAAAAATTGAGTAAATAAAAACTAAAATCGAAAAACAAAATCGATGAATTAAAAAATTTTATCATAAAAATCAAGCGTACAAAATTTGAAAAAAAATTAATAAATTTTGATATATTTATTAAATAAATTAAAGAGTAAAAAAAACTTACATAAAGTTTTATATGTGAAATTCAATAAGTTTTTTTATTAAAAATGAGTAAATAAAAATTTTTTTAAAAAATTCAAACCAATAGATTGATAAAATTTAATATAAAAATCAATAATATTTAAAAATATTATTTATAATTTAAATTTGATCGATACTTATTCAACGAAAAAAATTATGTCAATATTTTTATTAAAAATATATATTTAATAACTATATAAAATTTTTAATTTTATATGCTTGATTTATATGATAAGATCTTTTAATCTATTATTTTTTATTTTTTATTTTAATATTTATTTATTTATTTCTAATAAAAAATTTATGAAATTTTATGAATTTTACCTTATGTAAGTCTTTTCCAAAGACTAGTGCTATATCCCGCAACTAAATTAAGAGCCTCATCCTGTACGATGGGTGCAAGAACTAAGGACCTTGTCGCAGCCGACGGGTCCATGGGCCACATGGTGATGCTAACCCCTGCCCCAGCACTGAACCAAATTTTCCAGCAAACCCATGACTTTATTAAGAGAAAGTTTTGGTTTTTCCACCGCAGTGCCATCATTTCCAGCCAAGGCTCTATACTTATCTTTCCTAGTAAGACTTGTGCATTCATAAGATAAGCTTGCAGCAATCATGCTTTGAATGCAGTTAGCAACTACTTGGCTTAATTTGCCAGTACTACAAGTTAATTCAGAGGGCAATTTGTTCAAGAATGTTACTTCATAAGCAGGGCTAGGGTTCATGAAGAAGAAAAAAGGGTCCATTCCTTTCCGACCTCTAGCTGTTGTTCCATGGAACATGCTCATCCTATTCAACATAGCTACCGGAACAAGTTCATCGGTTAACTCAACGAATAAAGCCAAAATCCCTAGTAAAAATGGTTCCCCACATGTTTTTCCTTCGGGGTATATAACTAGGTCACCTTCTTGTAAGAGTTTTTTGATCGTGGAAGCATCCATGGTCCGATCACGACTAAACGGACGGTTATGACTTCGGATTATCGCGATAAAGAGTATGTAACGGCAGGGATCAAACAGCCTAAAGCGACAGAGAGGAAGACAGGGTCAAGTAGGGTTCTATGAGAGCAAACGAAAAGGACTCTATTGATTTTTTAGCTGGTGGTGGTTGGGTGCCTTTGATGTAAACTCTTACACCAAGTGCCCACAAGGCATAGTAGACTAATGGCATTGGGAGGACGATGCCAGAGGCAAGGAGGAGATGGTGAGAAGTGCTTTGCATGGGGTTGGTTTTTGAACAAGCCGACCATCATGGAAAATTATTGGTTTTGACAGTTTTTCAAGACTTGGTGGTTCAACCTCGGGCGTTGTTGGAAACACATAGCTTTCCTGCAAATGAAATTGAAATTTCATCATTGGCAAATTATTATAAAAGTCTATACCATAAAAAAAAAAGCTATATCCCAATTGCAATGGTAAATAATTGTTCAATTGAAACTTTTGTTGCATAACACATATTACTTAATAATTATCCTTCAATTAATTTTTATTTTAAATTTTAATAAATTTATTATTATTAATTAAAGTAATTTTCAAATCTATCAATGAATGATTAGTTGTTCAAGTGTTTTTTCCTTTGTTATCTAAGTTCAAATTCCCTGATAGAAAATTAATTTCTTATGAATTCATTAGGTTTGAAATAAGTAATCCTATAATGTATTGGGTAAAGCCCAAAAACCTCCTACCACTAAATAAAAATAAATAATTTCCAAATCTATTGCTATTCATAAGAGCATCCAATTCGGTGACATTGTCATCTTATAATTGAATATTCAATAATTTTTTATATTAATTAAACATAAAGGATAAACTAAATTGTTTAAAAATTGAAAAAAAAAAAAAGTAAAAAGCTTACGATAGAGAAGCTTTTGAGTAAAAAATTACAAAAAAAAATAAATTAATAAATATTTTTTGATAAATAATTTTATAAAAAAATTACAAAAAATACAAAATACCAATAATTGCTTGATGAGTGTCAAGTAATTAGCCCTTAGAAGACTACTTTTCCTTTTTAATTAATGTTGTATTTTATATTTATTTATATCTTTATACATAAATAAGAAAATATATACACTTAAATTCAAATAATTTATATTGTTTTAAAAATTAAAGATATCACTGGAAGACAATTTTCATTTAATTAGGCCTTGCCTTTTGTTTTCTATGAAATTTGCTTTAGAAAAGAAATAAAAAAAAATCAATAACTCAATGAAAAAAACGAAATTTAGATTTCTTAGAAGAAAACCTACTAAAATATATCAATTTTTCTATTTTTTACTAAATTAAATTGAAAAATGAAATATATTTATTTGCAAAAAATCTTAAAATGAGAATTTTAAAAACATTCAAAGTTACGATTTTTTATATCTTCATATATAAATAAGAAAATATATATTTAAATTCAAATAATTAATATTATTTTAAAATGAAAAAATTATCTGGAGCGTAGCCAAGCAAATTTTCTAGCATGTAATTAAAGTGTAATCCTTACTAAAAATTGGGGAGAAAAAATAGTTTTAGATGGCAAGCCTTGCAAATTTCATGAAAGGATAATCAGCATTTCCATCCCCCAAAGCAATATGTGTCATAGGCTCATCCTTAAACACTTTCTCAAGTGCATCAGCCTTGCTCTTCCCTACAGGAACCCGTGGAGTCTTCACAAAACCAGTTGCTCTATCTCTAACCACATGGATTTCAGTTCCAATAACCATATCAGCCCCCAAATAATCCTTCAAAAATGGCTTCACCATGACTCTAGGGTTCGCCGTAAGCACACGTCTTTTCTCACATGAAGAAAACACCATCCATGTCTCCGGATGCAAAGCCCTGGCCACGAATTCAATATCGGTTACTTTCATTCATACAAAAGGTTTTGAAAGTAAGGTTCCGAATACCAGCTGATTCGGGGATGAAGTAGGAAAGGGTTCCAGCTACAGGGGAAGCTAAAAGCAATAAAAGAAGCCTTAATATGCCACGAATTTCAAAGGCAACTAATGCAAAGTAAGGGAAAGAGCTACGTCCCCTTAGTAGGGTTCCATCCATGTTGGCGACCACCATGTGTTTTTCACGTCCAATTGATGCACATTGAGCAATGTTTGGAAAAAATGGAGTAGGGTTTTCTTTTGGTTTTGCCATTGTTAGGCTTTTAGAACAGTTTTGTTTTTTTTAAGATTGCTTAGTTTTGGTTCTCTTGGAGGTTTGTTTTGAGTTTTATATATATACAAAAGTTATCGAGTGAGGAACAACACGGTGATGAGTATGCTTTTCTTCATTTTTTCTACTTCAAGGCTTGTGGTTAAGAAAGCGACAACGATGATTGTTGAAAAAATATAAGGGTGTGAAATCGAAACTTAATTTGATTTATTCATTCAATTATTTTAATAAGTTTAGGTTTAAATTTTAACATTTATAATTTTTTTATCTCTAAATTATGATCCTCTATATAAAAAAACTTGAAGATATTATGTATCAAAAATGGAGAAAATTTCAATCACATGCTCTTCCTTTCCTTGCTTTTGATTTTTCAAATAGCTAGCTTGGTCAAATAAATGTAATTAACTCATTTTATATATGACTTGCATTAAATTTTTTTTTAAAATGCAAATATATAGAAGGGATTTATAGAGAGAATTTTGCTTCTCTTGCAAAACCTTTACAAGTAAGTTAATTTGTGTATATTTTTATTTGTTTGTATTACATACTAATTCAACTAATTAATGCTGCTTTTGGAAAGAAGATACGAATTTGTCTAAATTTCATACAAGTTACATGAATATTATAATGATATATATCCTTCATCAATTAAGTTACCTACTTTTGTGGTTTAAAAATATATATTATCTACTTTTACTAAAAATTTTATCCACAACTAATTTATATCAATCATAAATTTTTCTACATTCATACATATATGGGTAAATTACAAGATTAGTCATTAAAGTTTTCAAGTATATATTTTATTTTGGTCACCCAACTTTAAACAGTTACAATTTAATCAATAATATATAGGGAATTTTTTTTCTTTTATTTTGGTCACTCTTTCTTTGGAGATTAACTCAAAGTTGACGTGGTATTACCACATCACTTGACATGTGGTTTTATAATTTTTTTTTTAAATTTTGGATATTAAGAAAATAAAACCAAATTACCTTTTTTATTATTTTATTTTTTGAGAGTTTTTATTTTTATTACTTAACTTTGAAATTTTCATAATCTGATTATTAATATTTGTGAAATTTATTAATATTTTCTCTTCATAGTCAATGTCTCATAGTCGAAGTAGTTTTATAACAATTTAATCATCAACATTTGTGAAAATAAGCCATTGATTTCATGCAATAAAAGACTAAAGGCTTAAATAGTTCATGCAATAAAAGATTAAAAAATTTTTTATTGATAAAATTTAAGGATTTATTTGAGTATTATCTCAAGATATTTTAATATATCTAACAGAAATAATAAAATAATTTATTATATTAAATTTCACAAAATTTGGTTTTCAAATCATTACAAAGCTATGTCGAGAATGAGACATTAATAATGAATATCAAATAAATTTTATAAATGTTGGTTCCGAAATTATAAAAGTTTAAAGTTGAGTGACAAAATAATGTAAATTATTTTTTTCATATTATTAATTTTTTATTTATTTTAAATTTATAATGCCATGTAAAAAATTCTACATGGAATGTCAATTGATGTGGCAAATTATGTGGCAATGCAACGCAACATGCCATAAGTCTCTATCAATTGGATGCCAAAAAATAATTTAATAAACGTGAGTGACCAAATTGTAAGGTTTTTTTTTTTTTTTTTTATAATTGAGTGATCGAAATTAAAAAAAAAAAAAAGTGAAAACATCTTGTAATTTATCTTATATATAAAAATATTAATTCTAGTAATTTTATTTTTTATTCAAATGTTAGGCTACCCAAAGTGTTAATAAAGTTTTCTAGATGCTTTTGAATTGTTAATTTCTTGGCAAGACATCTGATATATATATTTTTTAATTTATATATTGGACCGATAATTAAAGCCATCTATCCGTAGGGGAATTTTCTATATTTCTCTTTATCAAATTTTTTAAGGATGAATGATAATTCTAGTTGATATTCAGTCATAGTGTAATCCTTCGAACTTCATTTCATTGAAGTTATCACAAAATTTTGACACGATTTAATTATATTCAAACAATGTTAATTCACATTAAATAAAGTTGTTATAATTTGTACAAAAATGATTGCAGTCTAATATAAGAGGTTATGATTTGTAAGTACTGAAATTTGAATTTTATATTTATTGAATGTTATCTCTTAAAGATACTTATATGAATTAATTGAGTTAAATTAAGGGCTTAACTTTTACTAAATAAAATTAAATATAATTAGATTTAATCATATTTGGTATATAAGATTATTATATGATAAGATTAAATGATATTATGAATAAGATTAAATTAAATAATATTATCATATCTTATGTTTGATGTGATATAAGGATTAAGATAAAATAATTTATTTATTGGTCAAAATTATTTTTCTCAAAGTTTATGCAATTTAAATTATTAATATAATTTTTAAAAATATAATAAAACATGTAAATTATGTTTGATACATAAAATTATTAATAGGATAAGATAATAATCATCCTAAATGATGTTTGATTTGTATTTAAAGAGATAAGTAGGGATTATAAGGAGAATTAATATCCTCTTGGTATAAGATTATTCAATCCTCTTAAAGTGAAAAGAATTATTTTTAATCCATGAAATTAAACTTACTTATCCAATTATACCCTTAAATTACATCAATAATTTAAATTGTATAAATTTTGAGCAAAGATAACTTTGATAAATAAATAAATTATATTATTTTAATCTTTACATACATCAAAAATAAAATAAAATAATATTATTTAATTTAATCTTATTTATAATATTATTTTATCATATCTTATCATAATCTTGTATACCAAACATGATCGTAAGTTTAATCTCATAGATTAAAAATAACTCTCTTCATTTTGAAAAGATTAAATTATCTTATATCAAATGGATAATTATCGTTTTTATAATTTTATCAATTTCAATTAGATATAAATGAAATATAATATAAAATTATTATTATATTATCATATTCATTATCTTATACATCAAATATAACTTTAAATTATATTAAAATAATAACCCATAAAATCAAAAAAAAAAAAGAAAAAACACTTAAAATTAAGCCCTAGAAGTCAAGAACCATACGACTATAAAATTTGTTTATTTCTATACATGAATCAAACTTTGCCTCTACAAAGCTAAAACCCCAAAATCAAGCTTTAAGAAGCCAGCAATGGATAACAACGGAAGAATGATTTTTTTTTTTTTGCATCAAAAAGTAAAACCTACTAAATATTTATGAAACAAATGATAGATACAAATTTATTTAAATTTATGCATTTCACAACTAATATATAGAATGATTATCCTCCATTAGTGGCCACCTACTTATGTTAAAGATTTGAGAGTTAATATCATTCTTATGCTTTTTTTATATTTTAGTAATTTAAAATTTTTTATACAAAAAAATCATAATTTAAAAATAAAATAATTATAAATATTGAGATTTAAATTTTATATTTTTTAAATATTATTTTTTAATAATAATTATATGTACCAATTAAATTATTTTTTTATTCAAATGTTAGGCTATCCAAGGTCTTCATAAACTTTTCTAGATTTATTCGAAATGTTAATTTCTTGGAAAGAAATCTGATATCGATTTCTTTAATCAGACAGATGAGAAAAAGAAAAAGTAGATATCTATAATGCAATATTAATAAGTGCCTCATAATTTGTTTACATCACTTTTGTAGACATTGATTGAAAAAGACAGCAGAAAATTATTCAGTGCAATGTTGCCACGTGCCTATTTTCCATCCCTTTCTAGGGAAAAAAAGTATCATGGTGTAGAGTGAAAGGAGAGGGACTCGATTGAGAAAAGTAAAATGGACCATGAAATAGGGCGTGATCTTCAATGCTTTTTTCATTGATGTTTAGTAAAAACAAAACAATGCTTAAATCTAAATCATCTTCAAACACCAGAAATTAAAAAGAGAAAAACAAAAGTTATGAAACCTGCATGGAATTAATGGATATAAGTAGCATTTGAGATAATGGTGAACAATAAATTGATAAATTAATAATTTCAACTATTAAAACTTAAAATTTTCAAAATTAAATGAATATAATAAAAAAAATGGAAGAAAGACATATATATTAGGCATAAATATAAAAAAAAAAAAACTTTTAAATTAAAATTAAATAATCATTCAAATTTTTATCATGTTAGTGAAATTAATTATATTTTTATACATATATTTTAGTCAATTGAATTTTTATTAAATGAAAATTGATTAATAGTTAACAATTATTTTTGTTCAATTAAAAACTTAATTGGGTAATAATAGATATTTAAAGACTCAATTATATGAAAAAAGATATTTAAAACATCAATTTGATAAAAATAAATATTTAAAGACTTAATTAATTACAATAAAAATATGTGTTTAGGTAATTATTTAATTTTTATTAAAAAGTTTTTTCTTTATATTTAAGCCTAAAAATTAATGGTGTTGTTGATAGTTGTATTTCATGTTGGTAAAATATTAAAGTTTTAATTTTAATGAATAAATTTTAATTATCCATAGTCTCAATTATTAAAAAAAAAAATAGTGTTATTATATGTTATACAATAGTATTACAAGTTCCTAATGGAATTAAATTATAAAATCAACTGAATTAAATCGAGTTTGAGAATAAAACCAACTTACTATAATTGAATTGAATTATAAAACCTTTAATGCAAAATATTATAAAAATCACTTAAATTAAATTTCAAGTTTATAATTCATTTTATTTTGTATGTTAATGATAATGTGATAATATTAGAACTAAAATACAGAGTAATAGTTGAATATTTTCCTATCAACTTGAAATCTTAAACAATAAATCCCAACTTAACAAATTGATATAACAAACTAATTAATTTCATGGACCACCAAATACTTTTTGGTGTGAGTTTCTATAAATAAATATCCCCAACAAGTCATGACAGATGCTTTGAATAGACATGTCAAATGTGCTTTGTCTGAAACCAGATTACGAAATTGACAGTAAACAACATTTATGGGCTCTAAGAGCATTTCTTTAATGTTCTCCATCATTCAGGGCTTCAAATCTTGAAAAGAATTCAAGATCTTTTTGACTTAGGTATGGTTATTCAAGTCTTTACACTCTAGTTGTTGATAACATTTGGAAAAGCCATGGTTTAGTTTACCAGAGAACATGGAACTTTTTCAGAATTTGATTTTGCAAAATTGAGAAAAGAATTCAGTAAAAAAAAAAAATGCAGTTAAAGAGATTCCAACACAAAGACATTGTCAGTTTTTGGTATTTTCTATATGTTTAAGCCATGTCAAGAATGAATCCGAAAATTTAGTTCAGTTGAATCATATTACCATCTTTTAAAGATGATAACTAATAGATCTAAAATTTAAATCTCGACAAGTGTATCTTCCTTTATTTTCAAACTGCGATCTCGTTTGTATAAAAAATTATGTCAGGAATCATTCTCTAATTCTTCTGTAATCACTATCAAGCCTCTCAATTCAGTAGCAGTAGGCTGAGAAAAAACACAGATAAAAGCGAAAGGATCATTTACAAGAAAAAAAATGGTTACTGCAAAAGAATAAAGTGCACTCCACCCCCATCCTTTTTTCTTTTCTTTTCTATTTTTGTGTGTTTTTCCTGGGTAAATAAAGCAATAGCAGGAGCAATTCAAGATAGAACGGACACATAAAGTTCAAAGCAAATATAAGAAACAGAATACCAATAGGAAAGTGACACAACATTTCCTCATTTGCTAGATGCATCAACAGTTCTACAAAACCAACCCTTTACTATGATTTGTCTGGTTTCAGTTTCTTTAGCAAAAGTTCATTTGCAGATAAAGTTTTAGAGAATAACTGGGTGAGTCCAGATTTTAGACCAGGAGTGAGTATGGAAAAGCGGCTTAAGCCCCACCATTGGAGGTCCACAATATGAGACTAAAGGCACAAAAGAGGGGAATGAAAGACAACTCACAGCAAAAGTTGCTTCAATTTTTGTCCTCTTTTTGAAGTAATTAAAAAGGAATTCATGTTTCAAGTGGGTTCATCGTCCCCATTATACGCCAATTGTTGCCGGATAGCAACTGTAGGAATCACATCAGTAAGACATTTACTTATGATGGAAAAAAAAGTAAGTTATCTGGCAAAGGAGATAAGATTTCATTGAGAACATGAACACACATCAACAATCTAACCACCTCAAGAATAACCACTATAGCTTCCCGCCAAAATTCAGAAAAAATCAAAATCTAAGTAAGGACCAGATGACCTGTCTGAGTCTGTGGCTCCCTTATCGTTTGGAGGCAAGGATGACTTAAATGCCAGATTTAGAAATGAGATATCAAAGGGTTTAGGAACTTCTGGAGGATGTGTACTGCGAATAAGAGCCCAATTAATACTTTCAAAGAAAGGATGCTGCTTGATCTCTGTGGCACCTCTTTTGAACCCAAGTCTCTTTTGTGGGTCCTTCACAAGCAGACCACGGATTAAATCCTTTGCAGCAAAACTGATTGAAGATCCCTCAGGAAATTTTAGGGACTGACCAACCACATTGAATAATGTCTCCCGATTACCATTGCCTTTAAACGGAGTCCTTCCCAGCAATAATTCGTACAAGAAAATACCAAATGTCCACCAATCAACAGCACTCCCATGGCCATCTCCTCTAATTATCTCAGGAGCTAAATATTCATGGGTTCCAACAAATGACATGGAGCGGGCATTAGTTGGCTCTGCAATAAGCACAGGAAATGAATCTGAATTCACCAAATTTGTTCTTTCACTTTTCACCTTTGCTGCTTTGGAACTGAGAAACCGAGGTTTAAAGCAAGATGGCTGCAAACATGCAGGCTCTACACATACGGGTAGTTTGCAGGCTGGATCAATGCAGGCTGGCTGAATACAGTATGAAGCGATTCTAGATGATGGCTCGGAACTGGACTGCACAAGGGTAGGATTGACAAAAGATCGCAACGACAAATCAAAATCAGATAACATGATGTGGCCATCCTCTCTCACCAATACATTTTCAGGCTTTAAATCCCTATATACCACACCCATCATGTGTAGATACTCAAGGGCTAAAAGGACTTCTGAAGCATAAAACCTGCGAGAACATAGAAATTTTATCAGAAAACTTACCAAACCTCGAATACATTCCATGGAGATAATCTAAGCACAATGACAGATTCACATTGACAATTTGAACTGACAACCGAATCCCTTAGAGTTCATCCAAACAGAATTAGCAACTGTCCCGAATATTCCCAAGTACACTGTTAGTACCAGAAACTGAAACATGGTTTGAAAAGTAAACAATTATCATGAACAACCAAAGCTGAACTGACAGTTGAAGCAAACTATTTTCTACCCCATGAATTATACACTCCAAACTCAGGTTTAGCACAAATTATCCAAATACGTTGTATCAAAAGTCCTGAATACCAAGTCATAATAAAAAATAAGTTCTGTTTCACTTCTCCTATTTTCAAGGAATACCTTAATAACATTTCCCTGACCAGTACTAATCCTTTTTTGGTCAAGAACAAGATGTAGCCAAACTGAGGACGAAAGATGGCCAAACTAGCAACCTAAAATATAACATATTAAACCTTAAAAGGTTAGAAACTAACCTTGCAGCTGCTTCCGAAAAATGCTTGCCCGGCTGTCGCTGCCGGAGAATATGAAGATCCCCGCCACTGCAAAACTCCATCAACAAGCAAGAAAACTTCTCAGTCTCAAAATGTGAATAAAGGGTTGGCAAAAATGGATGATCTAACAAACTCAATATTTCTCTCTCAGTTTGTGCCCTCATTATCTTCTTCCTCCCAGCTAACATCCCTTTATCCATAACCTTCATTGCAAACAAACATCCCATCCCTCTTAATTCAGCTAAATAAACACTCCCTATATCTCCACACCCCAACTTTTTCAACAACCTAAAATGAGCTAACCCCAAGTCCCCATCTTTACCCTTAACATACTGTATTGCATCCCATCTTATATCATTTCCTTTATGAGGTTTGGATGGACAAAAACTCCTAAAACTACTACACTCATTTGCATCAAGACTACTCTTTTCACTCTCTTCACAGTCAGTAGTAACAGAATCAGCATTCCTACTAACACTAATTTTATTGGCTGACTCAGAATTACTACAACATAAACTAATGCTAAAATTATTCTTATTGAAGTTAGCATCTTGAAAACTATTACTGCTACTTCCATTATTGCTAGAACTAACATTAGAATCAGACCCAGAAACGCTAACGCTGTTATTATTCAAGCAAAGGTCTTTGATAGTGTTGGTGACAGGAAAAGCTTCAAGCTTTTCATTTTTTTGGGGTTGTTCATCCATGTTTGAGAGAAAAGAAATGAGAAACCTGTTTGATGAAATGTCTGAAAGATAACAGGTTTAAAAATCTGGAGATTGTTGGTCAAGACAATGTGGGGTGTGACCGAGGCAGTCAAAGAAAGAGAGAGTGAGACGCGGGCTTAACTTAGCATGGGGAGTTGGAAATCAAAGGAAGGGTTAAAACTGTTTTCAAATTTGAAATACTGAGGATAACTGGGTAAGAACTAAGAATAAGATAAGCAAATTGGTAACTTGTAAGGTTTTTTATTTCGATAAACCCAAGGTTGAGTTGGGTTTTGAGTCTTTTTCTTACAGTGTCCCAGAACATGTTACAGCTTACAGCCAAAAACAAAGAGAGAGGGAGAGAGAAGGAGGAGTTGGTGGGACCCAATTCACGAGGAGAACAAAAGCCATTCAGATTTTCTAAAACACAAAAAAAAAAAAAAAAGAAAAACCAATAGCCAATACCGTTACACTGGTGCCTTTTGGTTTTTCCGGGGAAAAAGTTGCCGCTGGGATTAATCATACTTGTTCATAAGGCTGGTTGGTGAATTGGTGCCTGCCTGGTGGTGGGTGGTTTTTTTTTTATTTTTGGGTGATTGGGTTGGCGGTGGGGTTTCAACTTTCAAAAAATTGGATTAACGGTTGGTACTCGGTAGGTTTTATAATTGACATATTTGGGTAAGTCTTGACTCTTTGCTGTTTTGGTGGGTGTAAAACAGTAAAAATACAGATTCCAATTCAATTTCAGGATTTAATTCATTCGATTCAATTAATTATTTTTTAAAAATATCGGTTTGGATAAGCTTTTTTACCCTATCCAAGTTGGTGGATTAGACAATTTTTCAGCCTTTTATTTTGGTAAGTGTTTTGGAGTTTGTAGTAAGTATTTTCAGATTAAATTTAAAAGTAATTAACAATGAAAATTATGATTTTCTTGCATTGCAATCAAGACTCCCATTAATACTATATGCATGTTTGTGTGATTGAAAGTAAGAAATGGGGTGAGAGTAGAGAGTTATACAAATTGGTAACCATTTCCCAACACAATAACTTGGGGAAGGCAACTTCTGCCATAAATTTGATTAAACAAGGTATTTTTGAATTTGTATTCATGTTCAGATCAGCACGAGCAACAACTTATTACTTCATTACAACTTCCATAATTTCAATCCATTTATGAACAAAAAACAAAGCCAAACAGCTAATAAATTGGTTTGGCTCGGACGAAAAAAATTGGAAGAAAAGTGATCACTCACCTCAAACAGGGTGCCATGATCACTGATCATATTAAGATAAAAAAATTTTGGAAAATGTCAAATATCTTTTTTTCAAAAAAAAAAAAAATGAGGCCGCTAACCTGTTAGGATGAACTTTAGCTTTCTGTAATTGGAGATATGATTCTAGTTTTAAGATGATGACAGGTTTCACTTTGTCAGCCTAATTGATTGGCTTGAGTGGTTGAAAAAAATGGAGATTTGGATGAGAATCCAGGCAAGGAAAGTAAAGAAGTTTCACTTTGATATAAATTTTATATGGGTGTTTTTTTTTATATATATACAAAAGAGTTTATGATATAAAGATAAAAAAAAAAAATTACAGGTATTGAAATTTAAATTTTAAATTTATTCGATATCAATTTTTAAAAGTAATTATACGAATCAGATGCACTAATTTTTGAATTCAAATTTATATACGTGTTTGTATTGCGTGTTTGTATGAGTTAAAATAACCTAAGAAATGGGTAAATTTGGTTAATATCAAAATGAGAATTTTTGGTTCTCTGAGTAAGTTAAATTGTCAAGATAGTATCTTATCATTAATAGGCAAGGCAAAGGCAATGAGTGATTTGTTTTGATGAAATTAGCTTTTGTATATTGTGAAAATGAAAAGACTCAATTTCAAATGTCATACTTCAATCAAATGACAATCATAGATCATCGGATTTCTCACATATGGCTTCTGAATGGTTATTTCTCACCTGGAAAGCAATTCCACATATAGTTTCAAAATTTTACTGCAAATGTGTCAATTTCCTTACAGCTGTTTGGTTTCTGTCTCCAAATTTATATATGATATAATTTCAAAGCCCTTTTGTCTTTCATCCCATTGAATTCAAAATGAAGCCATTTCATGTTGCTGCTGCTCTCCTGCTCCTGTTTCTGGTAATGTCATAAACATTTATTATCTAATATTTGTTGCGTATTTCAAATCCAATGTATGAAACAGGGATAGCAGTACCATTATTAATTTGATGAAAGCAAATAAATGTTGCAGGGAATTCACTAGCACATGCTGTCGCATTTCATGCATACAACAAATGCACTTTTGCTATATGGCCAGCAACTGCTTCCAACATCGGCCATCCAGTGATAGCAGATGGCAGATTCTATGTCCCGCCAGGCCAGACGCAGCGCATTGAGGCACCCTGGACATGAAATGGGAGAATTTGGGCACGGACAGCACAGATAGCAACTTCAACTCCAATCGGCAACCAGCTTGTGAAAATGGTGACTGTGATGAAAGGCACACCTCCGCCACATTACTCCAAAGTGTTCTAAAAGGAGGTCAAATGCAAGCCAAAGGTTTATTATGTTGATCTTGGAGCTTAGTTCAGCTGATTTACGAAATCATCTTTAAGAGATAACATTCAGTAGACCTAGATTCAAATCTCAGCACCTTCAATCTTTTACCTTGTTCTCAGATTATGTACCAAAAAAGTTCTATGATGTTAACCTGGTTGATGGGTACGACCTGCCTGTTTCTGTTGCTACACAACCATTTTTGCCTAACTGAACCATCGGAAGGTGCTCGAAAAGTCCTTTGACAAGAATGGATAAGTTGTTGCTTGCAAAAGTGCTTGCGTGGCTTTCAATCTTGATTCATTTTGTTGCAGAAACGAGTATGGGACCCCTGCAAAATGCAAACCAAACATATACTCAAAGATGTTCAAGGATGCTTGCCCTTCTTATTATAGCTATGCCTTTGAGATGCCTCCACCATTGGTAAATTGTGCATCAACAATTGGAGGAAACTCACAAGATAATCAAGTCCAATGGACTGATGATATTTTATTGAAATTAGAAAAATTTTACACATTGCAAAATCTTGATGATAATTATGGTTTTCTTTCACTTTATAATTCACAATAAAACTTTTAATGGAAAATTATTAAAATTAAATTAACTATTGATGTTAATAATGAAAGGAAACAAAATCTTTAAAAGAGAAGTAAATTTTAAATAAAATGTATGTATATTATTTAAATTTATTACTGATAAAATTAGAAATTAATTTTAATACAATATAAAATTAAAGAAATGAAAAAGAAAATAGTAAAAACAAAAAAAAATTAAAATTAAAACCTAAAAATAATCCCAAAAAGGAAGAGCTGAAATTTGAAGCCCAATAAAGCCTGTTCGGCCCATTTTTACTTATTCAGCATTCAGCCCATTACTATTCCGAAGGCCCAAAGATAAAACGTTGTCGTATTCATCTAGGGTTTATCTAAGCCCCTCCAATTAGATCTATAAATATTAGTCAAAACCCGTAGCCCTTGTCACCGTTCCATGGGGTTACCTTCGTTTCGAAGTCGTCTTTCAAAGGGAGGGCCGGGGTTTCCAATTTTGGAAAAATCGATTTGTTTTTGAAATTTTCGTATTTTTCATCGATCAATTGATGAGAAAACCAAAACTGCAACAATATGATTGGATTTATTCCATGATTACTTGTATTTAAGTCTCTGATGATCACTCTTATCTATTTTTCTCTTGAAATTTATTCAAAAAATTCTCCCTTTTTTTTTTTTTTCTTTTTTAACGAATTAAATTTCTTCAATGTTTGAGATATGATGAGGTTTTATTTGGTCCGTGATTCTGATTTAACCGTGACCGGCAATTTTTTACCAATTTCTGATCTCAAAACTTCCTCAAATCTATACTTTTATTGGTATTACTATAATTTTTTCTAAAAGTTTTAATTTTTTAATGGAATTGGCTCTGTGATTAAATAGCCTAATTTGGGCAATATACGTATTCCGATTTGCATAGAAAAATGAGCAGAAAACTTATTAGAGAAAGAATGAGAGCTTTTTTTTTTAATTTTAAAGAATTAATTTTGATTTTTAATTTTTTTGTGTGAAATTAATTGTTTTTTAAAAAGCTTCTGCTGTGATGAATTATGAAAAAAAAATTCCCATGTCAGACTTCAGAGATTTTTTTTAAAAAAAATCCATGAGAAGAAAGTTCATGTCTTCTGAGCAGAAATTTGATATGTTTTTAATTATCTTTAATTCTTTGTTTGTAATTTGTAATTTATACATAAAATTTAATCGTTTAATGCATAAAAAATTGGGGGTTAAGTGTAAATTCTGTTTTCAGTGATTAAACAATCTTTGTTTCATAGTAATTCACTTCTAATTTGCTTCCCTGAATCTTTGTTTTTTGGTCTTTTTTTATACTTGAAAGTGTCAGCATTCATGAATTATTGCTAAGAATCTGTTAAGATAAAGGTACTGGAAAGATAATTTTGATTAAAGAAAGCTTGATTAGAACAATTGGGATTTCAGAATTTGATCTCAAGAACAAGAATTTAGAATTTGATTAGAAACCCTCAGGACTCAATTTCAAGAATTTGAAATGAAAATAGCCCTGTTTGTCACCAGCTAAGAGAGCAGAGGAGAGCTGATTTGGACAGAAAAAAAAAAAAAAAAAACCCAGAAAAACAAGGTTGAATTGAATCTATTCTGTGAAGCATAGCATTTTTTTTTTGGTGAAAAACTGTAGAATGAAGAATCTATTTTGGTTGATTTAGACCAAATCACATCCATATTCAACTAATGAATGCCACTCATTCCCGAAGCTACAAGATGATGTATCGGTTGTTCATTCGTATTAATTTTAAATCAAATTATTATTCAATTCAAAGTTAAATTAATCTAATTATATTATTTTATTTTTATTTAATGAATTGAATCAAAATTTTTAATTTAAAAAATGAATCAGTCAAAATTAATCCGATCAATTTGATTAATTTTTTTAATTAACCTAATAATAAAATATATTAAGTTAAATTATATTTTAAAATTTTATATTTTCATATGTAAAACAAGTTAAATAAAATCATTTAACAAAAATATTCAAACACTAAAAAATTAAGTTAAAAACTCTAATAATCTAAAATGAAATGAACAAATTCATATAATTTTAGTTTTACATATAGATTTTATAATATTTCAATTCAAATTTTGATTAATTCGGTTAATTTGTTTTTTTAATTCAATTGATTAAAAATCAAAATTTTTTAAAAATTATTTTTGATAATCAATTAAGATTAATTCGATAATAATCGATTAATCAAATTAAATCAATTCAATCGATTAATTTGATTAAAATGAAATTATAAACACTCTTAATGGGGAATGCTACATCTGTACAATGTTAAAGGCTCTTTTGAAACTAGAGGGTAAGTTGGATTTTGGTGCTTGTAAGCAAACATTTACAAACAAGTAAGGGTTAGTTTAGCATTTAGGGAAAATTTTGGGTTGAAAAATTTGTGGAAAAAATCCAGTATGTATTTTATTCTTCTAAAATTGAAAAGTCAATAACCTTTTAACATAAAAACTACATTCAATAACAATGCTAAACTATGTCTAAGAATGAAAAAAGGATTCAAGGTTTGAGCTTCTAAATTTAGCCAATGGCATTGAAGTTAAACCATGTGGGTGTGTTAATTGTAACTTGGTTGGCAATTTTTTAGCTTCTGTCTTCCCTACTGCAGATTTTGTTCACCTTGGTAATAAAAACTAGCTGCGTCCCTGGTCCAGCTTTATCAAGGACAAAACTGAACTAAAGAGCACCTTCTGAAACTTTTATGGAGACTAATTCGACCGATTTTTAAAGTTTGAAGTTCAAGAAATGACAAAGAAATGGGTCCCTCTTCAAAGTCTCAACAACTATCCATTGACCTTTCAAAGACACGTGAAAGAAATGAACTCTAAGAGGGCCCTTGGCTTGTTGAATCTTCCATTGTCCATGTGAACACATGAATCCATGGTTACATCATTCTGACAGGAAGGAAGACTTAGGCTCAAAATTTATATTCTTTTTTTTTTATTAAGGTGATGTAATTAAAATGCCAGTTAGGCTTAAATTTATGAGCTTAAACTTAAGATTAAAGATTTGAATCTTCCATTTTCCAAGTGAAGTGTACGTATTATATCTGATACTGAAGAATCAGATTAATTTTCTTTTGCCCTTTTTTTGTTGCTCTAGTGTTATGGATCAAAGAAAATCTTCTTGACTTTAGGATGTTGCTAAGAGGTGGTGGCCACCATCATTTTTATAATCTAATGTTTTTGCAAGTCATGACTGGTGGCTAAATCAAGACAACTGGAAACTTCGCTGCAATATTGTGTGAAAACAAATTTAATACTCCAATAAAAAAAACTGAATAATCAATGACTGGTGGACTGCTTTTAATCACTACCTACTTCTTTTATTCTATGGCTTAGGTGGAAACTTCCTCCAGAGATAGTGTGGAAAATCGCAGCTTGAACACCAAGGAAAAGTGCTTGTTCGATATTGTGGAAAATTGTAGCTTGAACACCAAGTTAGGAACAGTGCTTGGTCTCCTCTCTCTATATATAGAGCAGTTAGCCAAGTTAAGAAACACTTAAAATATTCACAAAATTTAAACTGTGGTGGAAAGAGTTGCAGAAAATGATGATGGGAGAACTGTGGTCTCATGCAGGCTCAATCATGGGGAGTTTGGTGTTCATTTATGCCATGTTTAAACAGTTTTTCCCTTATCAACTTCAAGACTATTTCGAAAAATATTTCAAAAAACTTGTGAGTTTGGCATATCCTTATGTTGAAATCAGCTTTGATGAATTCACTGGGGAACGGATGAAGCGCAGTGAGGCCTACTCTGCAATTAAAACTTATCTGAGCGGTAAGTCTTCGGCGTCTGCTAAGCGGCTTAAGGCTGATGTTGGCAAAGATAGCCAGTCTGTAGTCCTTAGTATGGATTATAATGAAGAAGTCATTGATGAGTTTCAAGGGGTCAAGGTTTGGTGGTCTGCAATGAGAACTCTTCCGAAAACACAGCGAATTTCATGGTATCCCGCTGATGATGAAGTGAAGTATTACAAGCTCACAGTCCACAAACGCCATAGAGAACTAATCACCGAGTCTTATGTTAGTCATGTGTTAAAAGAAGGAAAGGCCATTGCAACGAAGAACCGGCAGCGAAAGCTCTACTCTAACAATCCTAGTGGTAATTGGTATGGATACAAAGGAAGCAAGTGGAGCAATGTAGTGTTTGAGCATCCTTCAACGTTTGATACTTTGGCAATGGATGCAAAAATGAAAGAGGAAATCAAGAATGATCTCATCAAGTTTAGCAAAGGGAAAGATTACTATGCTAGAATTGGAAAGGCATGGAAGCGTGGATATCTCCTTTATGGTCCTCCAGGAACTGGCAAATCATCCATGATTGCAGCCATGGCAAATCTTCTGGATTATGATGTTTATGATCTCGAACTTACTGCAGTCAAGGATAACACAGAGTTGAGAAGGCTTTTGATTGATACCTCGAACAAGTCAATTGTAGTGATCGAGGATATCGATTGCTCTCTTGATCTTACTGGCCAAAGAGAGAAGAAGAAGAAGGAGGAAGACAACGACGATGAATTGGATCCGGTTGCAAAAAAGGCAAAAGAAGAGGAGAAAAAAGATAGCAAGGTTACTTTATCAGGGCTTTTGAATTGTATTGATGGTCTTTGGTCGTCATGTGGAGGCGAAAGAATCATTATTTTTACTACTAATTATGTGGAGAAGCTTGATCCAGCTCTAATAAGAAGAGGAAGAATGGACAAGCACATAGAAATGTCCTATTGTTGCTTTGATGCATTCAAGGTACTGGCAAAGAATTACTTGGAGATTGACTCTCATCCATTGTTTGGAGAAATTGACAGATTGTTGGGAGAAACGAAAATGACTCCTGCTGATGTTGCAGAGAATTTGATGCCAAAATCAGATTATGACAACGAGAAGACTTGTTTGGAGAGATTCATTGAAGCTCTTAAGGTTGCAAAGGAGGAAGCAATTAAGAAAGAGGAGGAAGAAGCTGGTGCAAAGGCGGAGAAAGAAGAAAAAGAAAAGGAACAATCTGCTAAAGATGTCAAAGAGTTGAAAGAGAATGGTGTGGCAGCCGAAGAAGTGAAAGAAAATGGTGTTGCAGCAAAAGAAGTGAAGGAAAATGGTGTTGCAGCAGAAGAAGTGAAAGAAAATGGTGTTGCAGCCAAAGAGGTGAAGGAAAATGGTGTTGCAGCCAAAGAAGTTAAAGAAAATGGTGTCATCCATTAATCAATGACGTACATCTTTGTTTGCATTTGAAGCTACTTGTATTGCTTTGTGTAATGCTATTCATGTTGCTATTTGGATTGTGTACTCAATTTGATTGTGAAATAAGAATTACTAGGTAATATGTTCAAAGATTTGGCGATTTCCCATCTTTTCCTATTGTAAATCAATATTGCTAGTTATATTGTGAAACAGAAGTTCAGTTTGTGTATGGGGAATCTTTGGTTGTTGTTAAGATAAAAGGATGCAAACAAGTTCAATCTTTCCCAAGTTGTTATTTCAGACAAAACCCATTGGTTGAGGAGTTTGGCTTGTCTAGTGGGACATTAAAATCGTATGATCTATTCATTGATGACTTTCTGCTCTTTTCCCATTTTCATGGTAACCACCCCAATTCTCCTTCCTTGTTTTTGGAACAAAATAGCAATCCAGATGGCTACAACATTCTAATTAATCAGATCTTTTCCAAAGGAATGTTGACTTACCTAATTTCTAAGTATCAATGGCGGCAATTTCCTTGACTTATAGATTTCTAGTTCGAATCTTTGCACTCAACTTGACATTAAAAAAATAAATGTTTAAGAAGTTTTTTTGAAAGGCAAGACATAAATCATGTTTAACAACAGATTATTATATGTATATTTGTTGTTTTGCAGGAGAAGGAAGATCAGCTAGTTGTCATAGATGAACAAAAATTTATTAAAAAAAAAAAGCAAGGTGGAAATTTCTTTAAAGTGTCATATGCAATGGAAATTAACTACTCCATGAAGACCAAAACTGAATAAAGAAAGACCTTTGATTGCATTTGATGAAATTAATTATATTTGTTTCTTAATTTCATACAATCAGACCAAAAATGGCTGACACCATCTATTGTTACTGTTGTTTTCTTTTCTCTATCTGAAAAAAAAAAGGGAAGAACAATAGAAAAACTCGTGTCCATTTAAAGCTATACTATGATATAAAGATTGTCCTGCTGTTCATTAAGTACATAATTTTCTGTTCATATTTCTTGAATTTTCTTTGTGATTAAGTGCATTTGCCCAATGAACCAACTCGTCAACTTGTAGAAAATAGACCTTTTGGTCAAAGCTTTTGGCTGGAGGGCTATTGAAGTGATAAGAATTATATTACAATAATTATAGATGATATAATCTCAAAGATTAACGTAGATAAGAAATTAATGTGAAATTACCGTGACATTCGATTTCAAAATCATTCCAAATTCCAAATTACCGATTGAACGAATCCTCGTCGGTGAAGACTTTATGCCTTTCTGTCATTTCAGGATGTTGGCAAAACTAAAGAGAAAATTATCATTTGGTCATGTCCAGACGTTGTACATGCAATAAATTCATGTATGCCGACGAAACTAGCAGGTTGGTACCTCCCTTGGAGTCTTACGGTCCAAATAAATGCTCCATGAAGACCGCTCTATGATTCTATGAGTATAGAGAAAAGTCAGTGTTCATATTATGAAAATTCAGACTTGTACAGCCCTTTATGTAAAAGTAAACTCATTAATTCTATAGCTCATAACTTCAAATGTATACTTAATTTGCATAAGAGTTTTTTTTTTTTTTCAGCCAATTTTCTCCAACATGTGGAACTTGTTTTTGACGGAATTCAACAAATTCATTGCTCTGGGTCTCATACATCAAATGCACAAAAATGGAATTTTTGTTATCAATTTAAACAAGGAGGGCAACATGCTGATTCTACCTTGGGCTCACATGAAAATCCTGCTGGATTTAATTCCCAAAATCCTGCAAGTCCTCTTCTTCTGCTTGTGAAAGAACACAAAAAATTCTAGTCATGTGCGAAGAACTTGGATTAAAGATAGATTAAATCTTACTTTAGTATCTTCTGTTGGCCCAAGTTTGAATAAACTCGGCTTTAGGGTTAAGACCAATTGTAACCTAACTGTGGCCCAAGTTTCATATTTCTTCTTTTAATTCCCTTTTCTTTTAATTATTTGGATAAAACTAAAAGTTATATCTGATAATTTAAAATATGATATGATGATACGATACGAAAATAATAAAATAAAGAACACAAAGATAACACTACTTAAAACTTTAAAAAAATCATAAATAAATTTAATAAAATTAAAAAATTATATTTTATGAATTTGTGTTAATATGAATTGTGATACGTGATTTTCATATAAAATATGACACGAATATAATATTTTATATGACATAATAATATGAATTATCATATCTACTAAAAGGGTAAAAAATGAGACTTAAATCTTGAAATTCACATCAATATATTTTTTCCTTCTCGTCTGCTCGGCGAAGCATTCTTTTTTTAAGTGCTGAATTCAGCTTGTTCTTGCCTAGTCCAATTACAATTGATCGTTCACATTTTTCAGATTTACACTAATGACACCTTAATTCATCAAAACTTAAACTTCAATAACTCAATGACCTGTCATCCAAATGATAGATTTGGACTTAAATATAAAAAAAAACTTGGGTTTGAATTAGTTTTGGATTTCAAAGTTTTCTAGATAAAAATCAAGATCCCAAGTCTATAACTTACATCAAATAATTGTTTTTTATATAATTAATTTTTGAAATGTATGTGATGCACTTGTAATTTTTATATCCAAAAATTCATTTCAATAAATAATTTTTTTATATTATCATAATAATGATAAATAATAATAATTTAATTTTGATTTCGATGAATAATGAGTAAATTTTGATAACTTTTGATATAATTTTGATTTTAATATAATATAAGTAAAATTTGATAATTTTTATATAATTTTGATTCTGATAATTTTTGATAAAATTTTAGTAACTTTTGATACAATTTTGCTAATCATTGATAAAATTTTGATAACCTCTTAATGTAATTTTAGTAATTAATCTTATGATAACCTATGATATAATTTTAATAATCGTTGATAAAATTTGAGTTATCATATATTTAAAAATGAATTCTGTAACAAAGAATGAATTCAATTCTAGTATAATACAAATTTTTTTATTTAACAACAATATTGTTTCATTCAAATTTAAAACTTTTTTCACTAAATTTTCTTATTAAATAGGTTTGTGGTAGATTTATCTAAGTCTTCCAAAATAAAATTTCTACCTTTATTTTTGCTAATAACAAAGGTTTAATTCCTAACAACTTTAAATATGAAAAAAATTATCAATGATTGACAATTAAATTATCATTGATTTATTATTATGTTATCTGCGATTTATTACTAAGCTATCAATGATAATTTATTAAATTATCAATGATTTAATACTAAATTATCATTGATTTACTATTAATTTATGAATGATTTAATACTAATTATGCATGATTTACTATTAAATTGTTAATAATTTACTACTAAGTTATTCATAATTTGTTATAAAGTTATAACTGATTTACTATTAATGTATCAATCATTTACTACAAAGCTATCAATATTTAACTAATTTACTACTAAATTATCATGATTTAATATTAACTTATCAATGATTTACTATTATGTTATTATGCATCTAATGTTATATTATCATTGATTTATTACTTAGTTTTCGATTATTTACTATAACATTATCACAGATTAATTACTAAATTATCCATAATTCATTGTCAAGTTATCACTAATTTATATTAAATTATCTACAATTTACTATTAAGTTATTGATGATTAATTACTACTAAGTTATATTAATTTACTTTTAAGTTTTAATAATTAATTACTAAATTATCATTGATTTACTATTAAATTATTTATAATTTATTACTAAGTTTATCAATTAATTACTACTAAACTGAAATTAATTTACTATTAAATTATTATTGATTTATTATTAAGTTATCAATGATTAACAACTAAATTATTACTTGTTTTTTATTAACCTATCATTGATTTACTAATATATTGTTACATATTAAAAACTATAAAAAATGGAGTTTAAGTCTTTTTTTTTTATATAAAATAACATTATTATTTTATTCAAGTTTAGAATTTGTTTCACTAATTCCTTTTATTGAATAAGTTTATGGTAGATTTATTCTACCCTCAAAATGAAAGTTTTATCTTCGTTTCTATTAATAACCAAGGTTTAGCCCTTGGCAACTTCAAGTATAAGTTATAAATGTTTAACAATTAAGTTATCAATTATTTGTTACTAAGTTATCAAAGATTTACTACTAAATTATCAATGATTTAATTCTAATTTATGAATAATTTGCTGTTAAGTTAAAAATGATTTATCATTAAGTCAAAAATGATTTCTATTAAATTATTAGTGATTTACCGCTAAGTTATTGATAATTTATTATAAAGTTATAATTAATTTACTACTAATTTACCGATGATTCGTTAAAAAAATTATCAATAATTAACTAATTTACTGCTAAATTATTATTGATTTACAATTAAGTTATTAGTAATTTACTATTACATTATTAGTGATTTACTGTTAAGTTATTAATTTACTACTAAATTATCAATAATTTACTATTATACTTTTATATATTTATTATTAGGTTGTTATTGATTTACGACTTAATTTTTTATTATTTACTATAAAATTATTATCGATTTACCACTAAATTATCTATAATTCCTGAGTAAATTATTACTAATTTATATTAAATTATGTATGATTTATTATTACATTATCACTAAGTAATTATTATGTTATAGATGATTTACTATTAAAATGAAACTAATTTACTGTTAAATTATTACTAATTTATTATTAAGTTATCATTGATTTATTACTAAGTTATCAATAATTAACTACTAAGCTATTACTTATTTTTGTTAAGTTTTTCTTGATTTATTATTATGTTATTATACATTTACAACTATATTATAATTGATTTACAATTAAAGTATTATATATATTATTATATAATTAATGATTTACTAAAAAATGATCAATTATTTGTTACTAAATTATCATTAATTTACGATTAAGTTATTATTAATTTATTACAAAGTTATCGATGATTACTACTATATTATATTGATTACATTTAAGTCTTCACTGATTAATTATTATGTTATTAATTATCTACTACTATATTATCATTTATTTATGTATATCTAAAAAGAAAGTAATCACAATGTATGTAGCTGATTTAATTTGCAAGGTAGAGAAAGAAAAGAAAAAGTTCAAGCTTAAATGACTTGAAAAGTATGAGTAAATGCTTTTAATTTACTATCCATAGGTTAACATGTAATAATAACTTAAATCATAACTTTTTATACCAATTAAGTACTAAAATTAAATTAAATAAATATATACAACATATATTAAGTCAATATTTCTAAGATTTTCTGTAAATTTTATAGTTAATGTCATAACATATAGATCCGGAGATCCATTGCTAGACATTGACTTGAAGAAGTCACCATCAATCTTTTTTTTATCTAGGTGCAATTGGTCACCTAAAGAATCTATCATTTTAAGGAACACCTAAGTCTAAGGGTTTCTAAAAGAATAGGTTCAGATCTACTAACCAGAATAGGGTTCGGGAGTATGGTTACATGTGAAGAAGGTTATAGCACCCTTACAATGCCCATCAAAAGATGATACCA